GCAAAATGTACCTAATATGTTTCTTTTTAACTGAAGCGTGGAGAATAAAATTTAACCAAACTTCCTTTGCGGTAAAGGAATCGTTAACTTTTTTCCAGTGTTGTTTAAATACTATGTTGTTTTCTACCACAGGAGTCGGAGAGAAAAGGCCTGATAGATAAAATCCACATGGTCCAAGACATTATCATCACCGTCCAGAACCTGCTGGATGAGATCGCCTGCCTCGGAGAGAGGATTAAAAAGTAAGAAGTTCATATCTGCCAGAATTACAGCGCTCTGATGTCATTTCAGGAGTTTTCCTCCGCTGGACTCTCACAGCAGTCATTTCATTAAAAGAAACATATTGCTTTTAATTTTAAATGTCATTTTCATTTAAATTTACAGCACATTTAACTGGTCGGTGCCATTCCTGTCTGCCTTGGCGCTTGTGGTCTTTATCATCGCTGCAGTCGTCACATACTTCATCCCCATTCGCTACGTGGTCCTAATATGGGGTGAGTTTCAGACAAGATGATGCTTCGTTGCTGCTTTTTAGCTTTATTCTGCGGAACATTTAGAAAGAACCTCATTCATGTTCAACTTCTTCATATTTTGCACCATTACAACCTCAGACTTTTATATATATAACATTGAATAAAGAGAAAGCTTGGATTTAATGCTTTAGACGAAAAGCAACTGCATGTTTTAGAACGGCCTAGTCAAAGTGCAAACCTTTTTGAGCTGAGAATATGTAGCTTTAGCTAAATGATGCTAAGGGAAAGTATTAAATCACACAGCTGAGCATAAATGGATTTTAGATTTTTATTTTTAAATAAAAATGTATGACCATTCATCCTTCAAGCAAACAAGTATGCACTACTTCCCTTCACATTAAAATACCGATAAAATACTTTGAATTAAAATTGGAACCTGAGGAAAAAATGTGAAAAATCCAGAGGATTTTTCTTTTTGTTCTTTTAAAAGGTGCTGAAATTCTTACTAAAAATGGAAAGACAAATTAAATTCCTTCTATTATTTCTGTTTTCATCCAATCTTTTTTAAGTTCAACAGGAGTCTCTGTTTGTTTGTGTGTGCACTAACTGGCATGGCTTCCAACATTCAAATATTTTGACTCAAAGGTAAAAATGTTTGACTTAATCCTCGCGTATCTGCCGTCCAAAAGTGAGAGCGCGCTGCGTACCTTTGCGCTGAGAGCAGCGCTTCTTGGACGGCGTGAGCCTCTCCTCCAAGCATTTGTTTGTGTGGAAACAAAGAGCACAGCCACCAGAGACTAGTCCTAATGATATGCTGGTGTGACTCTTTGTTTTAGGTATCAATAAATTCACCAAGAAGTTACGGAACCCGTACTGCATCGACAACAATGAGGTGCTTGATTTCCTGTCGAGGGTGCCTTCAGATGTGCAGAAGGTAAGCTGGGCAGGATCAGCCAGCCAGGAAGCCTGAAATCCCAGAGGCTGCCGGCTCTGCCTCTTAGCACAACAACTCCCAGGCTTTCTTCCCTCTTGTCTGTATAATTAGCTCTGTTCTGTATAATTATGCAGCCCTGTGTAATTTCACTCGTGTTTTGGTGGTGATACATCCCTGGTGGAGGTCTTGTGTTGCAAACTCCTGCTTTAGTTCCATGCGTGGCCGTGAGCATCTCAAGGTCCCTCACAGCTGCTTAGCCGGATGAACGGGCTCAGAGTTTAAAAGCTGCATCAACAACTTTTTATTCATTTATTGCTCAGAAGAAACATCCAGGCTTCCTTTTCATCTGGTCTGGACCTTCATTTGCTCCCCTGTCTTTATTTTCCTCACTCGCTCCATCCCTCTAAGCTGTTAAACTCCATTTGTCTCCTTCCTCTGTGCCCTTGGGTCACACAGTTGAGTGAAAGACACTTTATGAAGCATAGAGATGCTCCGGTCGTCGTGTGTGCGTACAGCCGAGGTGATGAGCATCCCACTCATTAGCGTTAGCGCTCTTTATAAAGCAGCTTACTCTACAGTAACATCCAAACGCTTTTATATCACCATGTTTTGCTGAGAAAATATATGCTGCGTATAATCAACTCATGTTTTAATTAGGATTCATAGAAACGATGAATACGTTCCCTGCTTTGGTAATATTTCCCCTCAGGTTAAGGCTGAACCCAGGAGGACTTCCTTTCCTTGAATTCATTACAGCTTTGAATCTATTTACTCATGTCTTTGGTCTTTGTTTTGTTCATTTAACACCTACCAAATAAATAATTTTGTTCTGATTTCCTGCAGGTTCAGTACAGCGAGGGCAAAAGTAGCCGGAAGAAGAAGATCCAGTAGAAAAGGTTGCCGATGGAGGATTGTTTCTCACGCTGGTTCCTGACGCGGCTGTTTTAAATGAACCCACCCTGTAGAGGATGGCGTGTCTGTCTGAGGAAGGGGCTGACCTTCGTATCGGCTGCGGGATGTTCAGTATGTACGGCTCTCCAGGCGCGGATCGGCCGGCGCTTCTCAACCAAAAAGGACCTCGCCGAGCGCTCGGCAGAATCATCTCAGTCTCTGAATGTTTCTGTTTGTTTATTGCTGGAGCAGCTTATAGTAGTATTTATCGTGAATTTAGGTGTACTATTGTATGTACAGTAAGGTTTACTTTAGAGAAAAAAAAATGATCAGTTGGAAGCTGCTGTAAGTTTTATTGTTGGAACCTAATGACACTTTTATGGATGGATTATTTTCCCATCTGAAAAAGAAACGATGCAATTTCCGGGATGAATGTGAATGTTTGTGTTTTAGAAAGAAATAAGTCATTTTATAAATCAAAGCTTTTATATAGAAGCTGATATGCATTAAGTTTCTGAACTTCATTTATTATATATGTATTCACTAAGTTTATTTAATTGTGTTAATACGACTCTTTTACACACAAAGATAAGTGCCTGGATTTAGTTTTAAGTTTTGTACCCCTTAGAATCCCTATCTTTTTTATTCTTTTATTCTGTGGGCTTTCCTGTAAGACCTTATTTATTAATGACTACTATATAGAAAATGTGTCCTATGGCCCTTGCAGCAATAAATGCATGCATCAAATCGGTTCATTTCTCCTGAGCTGCATCTCTAACTGTCCTTCCTGCTCGCAGCATTTCTCCTCTCTTTGCTCCCGTGCTGCAGGATTGTGGGCGTATAGCAGCACACTTTCACAAACCCACCCCCAACTCTTCATTAGGCTTTCATGAAGCGAAGCGCGGCTCTGCGCAAGACCTCGCCGGCACCCGGGATCCCTGCTGCGCTGACGGCCCCTGGGCGTCGCCACAAGCGGGAGGACCCCGGCGACCTCTTCTCAGCTACCGTGACGAGGCGCCTGCAGCCAGCATCCTATCAAACGCTGCAGCCAGAGAGCCTCCGGTTCCTTGCTTAAGAAGAAGACCCTAAACCAGCAGCCACACCCAGCGATGGGGGGGTGCACTGGCTCAGACGTTGCTATTCTGAGATTTTTTAATCAGAGCCAGGTGTTTGGTGACTTTTTAACAGAGACAAATAAAATCAGCTGTAAATAGATTAATTATAAATACCTTATTATTTAAAGCAGATATTTGATTCTAATAAATCTTTTTTCAAATCTTTGCCAAAAAAAGTGTTAAATTACCCAACGTCCTAGAAGACAGAGAGTTTGAGGAATGTGACACGCAGTGACCTGCATGTCTCTTCATCTAGTTAAAATGTTCACTTAGGTGTTCAATATTAATAACCTGCTGTCATGGACACCGGAAGGACATCTCAATCTGACACTTATAGGCTGGGCATTAATATGTATAGGCAGCGAGACGCCACGCAATTGGCAAGCGAAATCATGGCTCACACGTCGAGACTAATGCGATGTGGCAGAGGCCTAACAGCGGCACGCAGAAACGGCAGCTTATTGGTCTCAGTAGACTTTCCTTACTGCTCTATAAGGTGGGAGAAGATTCAGGACCAACCTACAGATTAACATCAGCAGCTTCAAAGGCGTGTTTGAGATTTCCACCTAGAGTTAAACTTTCCACTTGCAAAAAGCCTTAACATGATCTGATTTTTTTTTTATATAGAAATGCAACAGTTCAGACACATTCTGATGCAAAAATGTTTTATACTTTTCATATTTTTTAAATTTCAACCCTTAAATTTCTAACCCTTTAATGCTTTACCATTTTGAAAGCAAATGGTAAATGGCACGTACTTATATAGCACCTTTATTCAAGTCAGGAGACTTGACCAAAGCGCTTTACATTACATTCATTCACCAATTCATGCACACACTCACGGTGGCAAGCTACCAGAGATGGGAAGTAACGAAGTACAAATACTTTGTTACTGTACTCAAGAAGATTTTTCTGATATTTTTACTTTACTA